TCTCCCCCTCCCCCAAGGGGGTCCTCCGTGTCGTGACTGGTGGCCGAGCTCTCTGCTTTGTTGTGGCACAAGTCATGCGTGGAGCAGTGAGCTGCGGCCGGCAGCGCCCGATGGCCTCTCGGGCGTGTGGCTGGAGGTGCCTGCCTGGGTCTCGCACACTTTGGAAGGCTCGGCACGAGGTAGAGCCGTCCTGGTAGGGGATGTCATGTGATGTGTGTGCCCTTCTCCGCGAGGCTTCCGGCCCAATTATAATATTTTAATGAGACCATCGGATTCAGCTTTCGCAGTTTGATGCATCATGTTCTTGTGCTGTAATGTGAGCATGAGATTCCCTTCTTGTGTCTGGATTTGTTTCTCCGTGTCTTTCTCTGGCCGTCTTATTCTCTCTCTTTTTTCTCTTTGTCTCTCTCTTCCTCTCCCTCTCTCTCTCTCTCTCTCTGCCTTTCTCTCTAGTCTCTCTGTATCTCTCTTTCTTCCCCTATCTCTCTCCCCCTCCCTTCCTGTCTCTAAGATCAATAATAATAATAATAACAATAATAATAATAAAAGATGCCCTGACCGGTTTGGCTCAGTGGATAGAGCATCAACCTGCGGACTGAAGGGGCCTGGGTTCGATTCCCGTCAAGGGCATGTACCTTAGTTGCAGGCACATCCCCAGTGCGGGGTGTGCAGGAGGCAGCTGATCGATGTTTCTCTCTCATGGATGTTTCTAACTCTATCCCTCTCCCTTCCTCTCTGTAAAAAATCAATAAAATATATTTTAAAAAAAGGATAGCAGCTAAAAGCTTTAAAAATCTGAAAAAGAAGTATAAGAAAGAGGAACTTAGCTCTGAAGTTTAATAGTATATTATAAAGACTTGCCCGCGGGGAAGCTTGGCCAGGGTCCCTGCGCTGGGGCCTGAGTGGCCTGGTGGCAGGGTTGCCGAGAGAAACACAGACATAACCCTGACGGCCGCCTTCTCTCCCCAGAAGGACGTCCTGAAGTCGGACCTTCTCCTGTGTTCCGTGGCCGCGGTCCTGTCCTTCGCCGTGAGTGCCAGCACCGTCTTCCTGTCCCTGCGTGTACGTGTCCACGCGCTGGTCCCCTTCCCGCAGCGGCACGCGGGCTGGAGGGGCCGGGGAACCAGAGGAAGGAAGCGGGGCCGGCCGGGAGGCCTGGGGGGTGGCCCTGGGCGGTGGGGACTGGGTCCCAGCTGAGGCTTGGCCCACAATTGCAGGCAGGTTTGGCTCATTTTTGGGGGAAGGGGGGTAATCCTCACCTAAGTTTTTCCATTGATTTTTAGAGAGAGAGGAAGGGAGGGGAAAGAGAGAGAGAGAAACATCGATGTGAGAGAGACACATCAACAGGTTGCCTCCTGCACGCCCCCAACCAGGACTGGGGGTCAAACCTGCGAGCCTGGGGTCCGGGAGCTGACTCTCTAACCACTGAGCACTCCGGCCAGGGCACAGGTTCGGCTCTTTGTTGACCCTTTCTTGCCCTCAGTGGGCATTGTGTTGCTGCCTGCCTGTGGGCCCCACCACCGTGAGGTGAGTCAGCAGTAGTAGGACAGGCTGAGTGAGGCCCCAGCGAGTGACACGCAGGTCACAGCGCCTGCACCAAAGAGATTCGGTAGAGAAACAGAAGCAGAGAAATCTCAGTGGGACTGGCGGCTTGAGGCTCTGACGGGCAGCTGCTGTTTCTATAAAAATGTTACATATTTATGAATTCTTTCAATGAGGCAGAATCCATTAGCTAGTTTTGTTATTTTTTAAAATATATCTTCATTGATTTCAAAGAGGAAGAGAGAGACATTGATGAGAGAGAAGCATTGATCGGCTGCCTCCTGCACGCCCCCTACTGGGGATGGAGCCCACAACCCTGGCATGTGCCCTGATTGGGAATCGAACCGTGACCTCCTGGTTCATAGGTTGATGCTCAACCACTGAGCCACGCCGGCCGGGCAGTTTTGTTATTCTTAAATCTTCTTTTTTTTTTTAAAAGAAGTATTCGATGGCCAGACCCCCCTGGGCCTCACGACTTCCACGGGCCGGTCCTCCGCCCACCTTCTTGGTTCTGGGTGGTTCTCAGCCCAGAGCGGGGGCTCGTGATGAACGAGGCACCGTTCCGAGGCCCGAGGCCAGGACCGAGCTTGCGTCTGTGCTTTGAGGGGGACGGGGGAGGCCAGTGACCTGTGTCACCCCGGGCGGCCCTGCCCCTGGGCCGAGCCGGCTCACGGTCACGCCCTCTGTCCTGGCAGCCCTTCCTCAGCCTCGTGCTGTTCGCCCTGGCCGGCGCCGTGGGCTTCGTGACCCACTACCTGCTCCCGCAGCTCCGCAAGCACCACCCGTGGATGTGGCTCGCGCACCCCGTGCTGAGGAGCAGGGAGTACCAGCAGCGGGAAGTGACGGGTGAGTGACGGGCTCCCATACGGGGCACATCTGGACCTCAGATGTTTTCCCCGAACGCAGTGCGCGTGCCGTGAGGCTGGTGCGTGCGACATGCAGAGAGGTGACCGCTGCCTCTCAGCTGGAGGCTCAGACCCAGAGGGAGTTGGGCGGCTGCTTCTATAGCGTGTCCCAAAATTCACGCAAGAAGTAATTTTGATAGAAAACACAGGTTTATAATCAAAAATTGTAAATTTTGTATTGATCCATAAAGTATACAGTATAGGGTTATGTGTGGAATAGTACATCGGGTCAGTGGCCTCCACGGCTGTGCTGGCACATCCGCAAACCCGCGGTCTTCATTGGTCTTCCTTGTCCCTGCTCCTGGGCCATCATTGGTACTTGGTCATGCTGATCAAATGGAAGGGATTGAAACCAAAGGGCCACAGATATTAGAATCTGATTCAATGAACCAAGTAAAATTAGGCTTTTATTTGTTGTTGTTGTTGTTAATGCTCACGTAAAATTCAAATCTTGCGTGAATTTTGGGACACCCTATACATCTGAAAGTCAATGTGACCAGCATTTGAAAGTCCGATCGCACCCCCCTACTCCCGGTACCCAGGGCCTCTCTGGCCAGGAGCCGCTCAAACGTCTCCTTTAAGTCGGCGTTTTCCTAACAGCGCTGCGGATGAGGGCGGCTTCTGTTCCTCTTCATTTCCATATTTTTGCAGCGACCTGGCTGAGGGGGTCGTGTGTCTCTGAACTGGTGACAGATGTCGACAGGACTCTGTCCACGTGTTTCCTAAGCGGCTGCGTCGCACTGGCTGTGACGGCCCTGATCGGACAGCGTCGAGCTCCTCTAAACTGAGAAATCAGAAAAAGGGGTTTCGCGGAGCAGGAAGCCGGATCTAACTGGTTGTCTTTTAGGAGCGATTGACATGGGGAATGTTCTAGTGCGGTGGTTCTCAACCTTCTGGCCCTTTAAATACAGCTCCTCATGTGGTGACCCAAACATAACATTATTTTCGTTGCTACTTCATCACTGTCAGGTTGCTATTGTGATGAATCGTCATGGAAATATCTGATGTGCAGGATGGTCTGAGGCGACCCCTGTGAAAGGGTCATTCGACTGCCAAAGGGGTCGCGACCCACAGGTTGAGAACCGCTGTTCTAGTGAGAGTGACTTTGGTTTTGTAATCAATATTATTCTGATAGGCTGCAAGGGAACCTGTATCAGGAACTTCAGCTCCTCTTGGTTCAATTTCACTCTTCCCAGTTCCCCAGCCCCTGTAAAGGATGAAATTAAAATGGACATTTACTGAGCCCCGACTCTAGATCTGGAGGCATTCTGCTGGGTCACTGTTTATGTTACGGCGACCTGTTACTTCTTATGAATTAAAGGGGGGTGGGTATTGCTTATTATGTTGAATTAAAGGGGAGGTATTGCCTATGTCCCACACGCCTGAAGACACATACTTGACCCGTGGCCGTCCTGGGCGGGTTTGTGTCTCCCGCAGACGCCGCCCACCTGATGTGGTTCGAAAGGCTCTACGTGCGGCTGCAGTGCTTTGAAAAGTACGTCCTGTACCCAGCCATCATCCTGAACGCGCTCACCATCGATGCGTTCTCCATCAGCAACCACCGGAGGCTCGGGACCCAGTAAGTGGGCGACGGCTTATTCTCCTCCCGGCCGGGCTCACGGCCTTGGCGAGACCGAGTGAACTTTCTCTAGACGGGAGGTCGGCTTCGTGGGGGCGTTCCCCACCTCGAGTGAACTTTCTCTAGACAGGAGGTCGGCTTCCTGGGGGTGTTCCCCACCTCGCAGAGCGCAGAGCGGGGCAGGCGTTCGCAGAGCAGCCGGGGTGCCGACGGAGGCGGAGCTGGGAGTGGTGTCAGGAATGACTGGGGTTTGAGAATCATCCTGCAGCGTAGACAGTGAGCGCTCACGGGAAGGCGTGAGGCCGGGCTCCCCGAGTTCCTGCCTCCTGTCGCTTCCTTCAGCAAGTGCGCTGGCGTGCAGTGCTGGCGGGGTGTCCCTGCTCGCTGCTGTCAGGAGACGCACCCCCGGGGCAGAAGCACTGACCACGTGCAGTGGAGTCACTGGTTCCATTCACGCAGATGAACTCTGGGTTCACCGAGGGAAATCCACCGGATCTTGTGGATCTGTCCTTCTGCCCGAGGGGTTCTGGTCCAGGGAGCTGTTGGAGGAGGAGGCTGGGAACGATGCTGTCCCAGATGTGCTCGGGAGCCACGTGGCTCAGATGTTACGTGCCCAGGTCAACCCTGATGCCTGATCCCAGGCGGGCGGGGCCACTCCTGCTCGTCCTTTTAGGGGGGGTGAGGATGGATCCGGAATATCTGCAAAAGGCCGAGCAGGCTAAGCCCCAAGGCCTCTGAGTCCTGGGATCCGAGCGGGTTCCTGGTCACGCGCGGCAGACACTGACATGCATGGCCCCGTCACCTCCTGCCCGCCTGCCTCCTGGTCCAGACCTGGCTCGGGGAGGCCAGGGCAAGAGGCCCTGTCTTTGGTACTTAGAATCCCAGGCTTCGGTCCAGGGGTGACAGTGAGCCTCGCTGGGTAAGGAGGGCGGACGCTGGGACTGCGGAGGCCTGTCGCTGCCCTAGGCCTGCAGATAAGCTCTTGTCCTTCCGGGTGATCCAAGGCCTGGGGGGGACCATGGAGCCGCCTCAAGGGGCAGCCCCTGCTGGAGAGCCCCCCGGGGCTGAGTGTAATCCCAGCTCCGCCCGCGAGCACTGAGACGGGACCCCAGTCCCCGAGACGCCGGTTCCTGCTTTCAGGGGAGGGTGGTCCCCGTTGACCAGGTGCAGAAGGTGCAGGGGATGCGAACC